TGTGTTTTGGGTCTGTATCCTGGTCCCTTGTTTCTCCTGCTTTATCTTGCTTCTTTGTGTGGACTGTGATGCTCTGTTGTCTCCGAGGCATTGTGACATTTTTGTGTTTATATTTAATTGGTGATTGTATGTTGGAGTGACTTGCCCACAATTTTCATTTTTGTTTTGTTTTGTTTTGTTTGTTTCTTATCTATGCAAGCAGGGTACTGTGCTGTGATCCTCTATTCACTAGTTGTCAGCACTTATACACTCACTACCTGTGTCCTTTCCTGTTGTCAGCCTCTTGTATGTCCTTGCCGACTCTGGCAAACAGAGCCTGTTCTTAGGTCCCTGGAATCCGAATGAGAATGCTGTCACTTTAAAATCCAAAATGGTTGCCACTTGTAAATATTTAAAATGGCTGTGCCCTTGGTCACTTTAAATATCCAAAATGGCCACAGCTTGCACACATTCAAAATGGCTACACCCTCAGTCACTTTAAATATCCAAAATGGCTGCCACATGTAAACAATTAAAATGGCTGCACCCTCCAGACAGCAGAAAGTCACCAGCTCAGGTTGTTTGCCTCCTTGCTATTTCCCTTCCTAGTCATAGGCCACCAGCGCAGTCATCCCTGCAGTCCTTGGTGACCAGAGCTGATCTTTAGGTCAATTCTCAGGTCCCAACACCACTTGGAAATATTCAGGCTGTTGGTCTTGTCAGAGTAGCTGACAGTCCACAGCTCCGACCATCTCTATATTCACTGTTTTGTTCAAGTTTTTCCACTAGTTGGTGCCTAATCCACTTCTGTATAGTTCATTTCAAAGCTCAGGGCTCCAGGATTATCTTCTGTTATCTCTGTCAATTGGTTTTTCTTTTCTTTGTTGAAGAGGGTCTGTGTCACTTGTCTGCCTATTCCTCCATCTTACCGGAAGTCCCCAAGCATTTTTATTATTTTCAAATCTACCAAAAGAAGTCTGTATTACAGTTTGTTATATTCCATATCATATATTATTAGACAAAGGTTTGAACCTTGTGTTGGAGGTATAGAACATATCAGGGCATCCTGAAAGCAAGAGGCAAAATGTAAATAAAATATATTGCTGTCATGGAGGGGTTGATGGTTCAATGATAGAATACTCACCTAGCTTGTGGGATACCTGGGTCCAATTCTCAGACAATGCAATGCTCATGCAGCCATCACCTGTCTGTCATTGGAGGCATTGTGATGATGTTGGATGGGTTTCAGCAGAGTTGACAGAGTAGGAAGAAAGACGTGGTGTCCTATTTCTAAAAAATCAATGAAAAAACCCTAAGAAACACACTATCTGATCCACAACTGATCATGAGGATGGTAGAGGGCTGGGTAGCATTTCATTTCCTTGTGCCTGGAACTGCTATGAGCCAGGGCTGACTCAATAGCAGCCAACAACAACATGAGTTGTTGTCATTTCCTAACACAAATCTTTGCTTGAGGCATTAAAAGGCTTCTCCTGTTTTCTAGACTTTGAAGGTCCTCTTTCAATATAAACCCCAGAATGTGGATGAGTTGATGCTAAGTCCTGGCGACTATATCTTTGTGGACCCAACTCAGCAGGAGGAAGCCAGTGAAGGCTGGGTGATTGGGATCTCACAGAGGACAGGCTGCCGGGGCTTCTTACCTGAGAACTACACAGAGCGAGCCAATGAGTCTGACACCTGGGTGAAGCACAGGTGAGTGCTGCCTCAACACCAACCCACACACCCCTCTCTGACTTAGTATCTAAGGGCGTCCTCCTGAAAGACTGTTGAAGCTATTTTGTGCTTCTAAACTGTTCCATCATTGATAAAATTTGTACTTTCCTTGGTGGCAAAATCGTCTGTGCAGGTTTATATCCAAGTACATATCTTGGATGGTTTGTGGTTTTCTGCTGACACATTCAGAAAACATAAATTATTCCATATTTCTTTTCTGAGACAATAATCTCAAAAGGATGTCAAAATACTATTTCCTTCTTATGAACATAATAAATTATGATCATATGTCCTAAGCTTGGGTTTGTTTATTCTTCAACAGTGAACTAAAAAAAAAAAAAAAAAAACTCACTGCTATCGAGTCGATCCAACTCATAGTAACCCCTCCTTGGGTTTCTGAGGTGATATCTCTATGTAAGTAGATTGCTCTATCTTCCTTCTGAGGAGTGGCTGGTGGGTTTGAACCACCAGTCTTCTGGTTAGCAGTCAAATGCCTTAGGCACTATGCCAACAGTGATATTATCAATATATAAACTGTACATTTCTAAGATATGTGCATTGGTTTTCTATTATTGTGTAACAAATTACCATAAACTTAACAGCTGAAACAAAATACATTATCTCATAGTTTCTGTAGGTCAGAAGTCCAGACAGAGCATAGCTGGGTCCTCTGCTCAGGGTCTCATAGGCTGCAAAGTGTTGGCTGGGCTGTGATTTCATCTGAAATTTAAGTCCTCTTTCAAGCTCACATGACTGTTGACAGAATTAATCTCCTAGAAGCTGTAGACGCATGGTGGCTTATTTATTCATAGTCAGCTGAAGAAGCTCTTAATTTTAGCACTTTAGCATCATCTGGATAGGCTGAGAATTTTCCAAATCATCAAGTTCTGGGCTATTTTTTGCTTAATAGTAGTTCTCTCAATTTATGTCTCTTTTTATTTTATTTTGTTATGTTGTTGTTGTTGTTATGTGCCGTCGAGTCAAACCCGACTCATAGCGACCCCTCCTTGGGTTTCCGAGGCAGTATCATTATGGAAGTAGGATTGCCCAACCTTCCTTCCGAGGAGTGGCTGGTGGGTTTGAACCATCAGCTGTCTGGTTAGCAAGCAAGTGTCTTAGCCACTATGCTACCAGAGCTCCCAAGATGCAAGATACTTCCATCACTTTGCTTGGAAATATCCTTACCTATATAACCAACTTCATTGCTTATACGTTCTCCTTTCCACAGACAATTTCACTAAGTTTTTGACACTACATAACAAGGATCTCTCTTACAATTTTCTATAATATGTATCTCACTCCCTTCTGAGCCCTCACTGGCAACACCTTTAATGTCTGTATCTCTTCTAGCAATCTATCTGTTCAAATATTTCAGGCTTTCTTTATCACACTTCTCAAAATTCTTTCAGCCTCTGACCACTATCAAGTTCTGAAATCACTATGTCATTTTAAGTATTTGTTGTGGCAGCATCCCACTCCTGACACCAAATTCAGTATCAGTAAGTGTTTAACCAGAGAAGCATAACTAGTGATTTGTATATACATATATACATGGATTTATTAAAAGGAATTACCTTGTGCAATTGATGGAGCTAGCTAAGCAAGGGAAGACAGTCAGGAAGGGATCACAAGCATGCTGGAAATTTACAGGCATAAGCTGAAGCTTGTTGTCCACAGGTGACAATTAGGAGAACAATGCAAGGGGATGGGAGACCAATTGCAGATACAGGTGTTATACAGAGACTCTGAGCCTAGAGAAGGCCTAAGCCCTATTTTAAAGGTCTTCCAACTGAATAAGTCAGATCTATCTGGGAGAACCTCCCTTTTGATTAAAGTCAATGATTAGGGACTTTGATTACATCTACAAAACCTCTTCACAGCAGTACCTAGATAACCATTCAATGGAGTAATGGGTAGAAGGTGTATATGTTGAATAAAATGACTATTATTTTCCTTCAGTCCTCCAGCTTTGTGACAAAATCCCCTATACTAACTGCCATCAAGTCAGATCCAACTCACAGTGACCCCTCCTTGGATTTCCAAGATGGTATCACTACGGAAGTAGATTGCCAATGTTCATTCCAAGGAGTGGCTGGTGGGTTTGAACCACCAGCCTTCTGTTTAGCAGTCAAATGTCTTAGGCACTACACATGCTAGAAAGAAAAATATAGGACTGTAGTTCAGGGTAGTTAATCTGACACATTAAAGCACCATTGCAAAATGTTAAGGTAGTCCTATTGTAAGGATTTTTTGTCATTGTTTGTTTGTTTTTAACTCTCTTCTTCCAGGTTTCATTTAAAAGAATGGAGGGTAACATGTGGAGGAAGGTTGCACTGCCTCATGTGTGTGCTTGGTGGTGTGGAGCTCATGGCCCAAAGTTTCAATAAGTCAGATTGTTATAAGAGCTGAATAATGAGAATAGAATGAAGAGGGGGAAAACAGAACAGAAACAGCCTCTGTTGTAGTCCAGGGCTTCCTGGCACCTATAAAGGTGCATGGCTGGTAAAGAAAGACTGGAAAAAAGCATTGATAAAGCCCACCCCTTTCCTCAGGGAGGGGTGCTTTAAAATTATTTCACTATTTAACTCCCTTTCTTAATTCTTCTTAAAAATACCCACAGCCTCCCCTAGGGTTTTATTTCTATTTTTCTCCCTACAAATAAACAAATCATTAAGTTAAAAACAGATGTATTAACAGTCTATTCAGTCTACACATTTTCAGATCTGTATTTGACAACCACTGTCGATAGTTATTTTCCAGTATCTTTAAAGCCAGTCTTTTTCCTCTACTCCTTCCTGTTGAAGTTGGTATACAAGGAAAAACTATGAAAATTATGCCATTTCAATTAAATACTCATTGGAAGCTATTTTAAAATTATCAGAGTTGAATCTATGCAAAACTAACAAGACTGGTATTTGAGTAAATTAAGAAGCAGTGTATTTTGAGGAACTGACATAACTGATTATTTATTGATCATTTTACTCAAACTAAAAACAAACAGTACATATAACATACAGTATAGATAAGCAGTAGAAGCTCTTGGGACAAATACCTAGACTTTACAAAAAAAAGTAATTAAAATTGTAAATATTTTCTGGAAATATTTAAAGAGAGAGAGAGATGAGGTACTACAGCTGGTTTCTTTAGGTAAATATTATGTTCCTTCCTGCTAGTCTATTAATACATTGAGGCTTATATAACAAACCAAGGGCAGCATTTGTCCCAACCAAACATGATGGCAGCTCAACACAGAAAAAAAGTGGATTCCAGCCACAGCTCCATGCTCTGATCTCCACAAACAGTGTTATGTTCCATTTATCTTAACTTGAGGTCATTTAACTTCTCACCCTAATTAATAAGCCCTGAGTGTCATAAAACATAAATGGGGAAAGAAAATGCAGCAGGAATTGCATGGTTTTATGTATTTATGGATTCAATACACTTCATTCAAAACAATTTTAAGGCAGCTTAAAAGATGTATAAAAGCTTTAAACACTAGCATTGCCCAACTGTGATGTATGTATTGCCATTATTGACTCACATAATTCCTACAGTAGCCTATGAAATAGACACTAGTGTTGTTCCACTTTACAGATGATGAAACTGAGGCATAAAGAGATAAAATAATATAGTTAGTGAGTAAAAGAAGCAGGATTCAAACCTTATCCTAATTTAGAGGTCATGTTTTTAACCATTACCTAAACAGCCTACAGAAGATATAATTAGATTAAAAATAAATAGGTGAAATAAATTATGGTACATCCATACAACAGAATACCTGTATCTGTAAATAATCATGAGAGAGTATTTTATATGCTGATATGAAAAATACTCAAGATATATTGTTAAATAACAAACTTAAGTTGCAAAACAGCTTGTATAGTATACACACTTTATGGGAAAGGGGGAAGTAACACAGATTTATATGTACATATATACACATCATGGGCATTTTTATACATGTATATCCCTTTAAAAAGCCCTGGAAGGAGAAACATCTAGAAACTCGTAACAGTGGTCACCTGTGGGAGTGGAAACTCGATGATTGGGATAGGAATAGAAAGGGGTGTCTTCACTCTCTACAACTTCATAATTTTTTTTTAATTTTTGAAGCATACAAATGTATTACTTATTCAAAATATAAATTAATCCACTTTAAAATTAAAGATAAGCATATATTTAAAATGTTTCAAAAACAGAATAAAGGTAGAGAACACAAAATTGGGACTGAGGTTTGTACCCACAGTTCAGGCTGTGAGAGCCCTGGTTTTGAGCCTTCCCACATCCACAAAACAAGGGACATACATTCATTACAATAGTTCACAGTGATCCCTGATACACGCAGACCAGTTATTCAGAAAAATCACAGTTTCACTGTTGGAGATATGGCCACAGGCCCAGTTGTCATAGGAAAATCACAGCATGATGGTACTATAAGGGACAGTAGAAAGTAATATTAAACATACCATGGGCGACCAAAACAATGAACAAATTAGTCTTAGCAGAACTACAACCATAATGCTCCTTAGAAGAGAGGATGACAAGACTTTGACTCAACTCACTTTAGACACATCATCAGAAAATACCAATCACTAACAAAAGGCATCATGTTTGGTAAAAAGTAAAGGTTCAGCAAAAATGAGGGAAACCCTCAATGAGATGGATTGACACAATAGTCACAACAATGGACTCAAATATCATGAAGATGGCACACGACTGAGCAGCATCTCATTCTGTTGTATATAAGGTCACCATGAGCCAAATCCAGCTTGCTGGCCAATAAAAAGAACAACAAATTGAGAATCACATATCATCCTCCTACTGGAGATCTGAGAAAACAAGGGCCAGGGTCTAGGGGAAAGGCTTAATGAAGTCATGCAACTAAGGAAGCAGTTACATCTTTTTGGAACGAATTACTTCAGACCCAATCCAATGAAAAGTTTAAGGAGTAGCATGAGAGGAGACTTCGACTACCCTCA